GATAATAATAATATTAATATGTACACTTTCCGCCATGAATATATTGTATATATGTATTATTAATTTTTCATTATTATAATCTGGTTTAACATGTAACTAATTTGATCCTGTAATTGGCCTTGTGCTGTTGGGTCTTTACGAATTAAAAATGAAAATGAAAAATGAAAAAGAGGGAAATGTTTGAAGAAATATTAATATTTTGCGAAATTTAATTTAGATAATACTGACAGGGTATGAATTTTTTCAAATTTTTTCCATGCAATTTAGTTGAAAAATTTTAAAAATTAAAATATCCGAAAATTCCAAAAGTACAGAAATATTCCATTGATTTCTCGTTCGAATGGTCTGAAAATGAATCAAATACTTGATTTTTCAGTTCAGTCATTCCGTGAAAATTCAGAAAAATCAGTAAAATTCACGGAAAAATTGAAAATTTATGTCATTTTTTTTTGTGAATATTCATGTTCCATTGAAAGTTCAATCAAGTTGTGAAATGTTTATCAAACTTATGGCCCGTCAGTGGCCCTCAAGTACATTCAATATTTGGGGTTTAAATGACATATTACATTATTTTTTCTTCGGAGAATGCAGTTAAATTTGCAATTAGTATTAACAAAACAGAAAATTTTAGAGAGAATGTAATCCTAAAATTACAATTGTGAAGCTCTAATCGAGTCCCTATACTCATTGTTTTTAATTGTTCGAATTTTAATACTGAATTAGTTTTATTTTTTTCCTCAACTAAACAGTCTTCGTAATTTTTTGTCAATCATAAATTGAAGGGGAGTAATAGTCCCCAATTGTCCAATTAAATTTTCGCAACAACAATTTAAAAGTTCTTCATTTAAGCGATGAGTTAAATTGAATGTTAATGGAATTGTCTTCCGATGAAAAGTGAAAGGTAAACATTTGAAAGGAAATATGGACGAGAGGATCGAACGAAGTAGCGTGTCACTGTCGAGATATTGCAGAAATCGAGGGAGAGTCCCCAAGTGACTTCCTGCGTGTAGATCCCTTTCTATAGTACCTGTTGACGTAATCGAACGAAATCGTCGGAATGGCTTTTGTAATGTAATTAATAGAAAAGCCTGAAGAGGCGCCGACAAATGAAAGAATTATTATAAAAAATAGCCATCGTGCAGAGGCCACTCGATTATTAAATTCTTATTATATTACAGTCTTTTTTTTTCATCGCGAATGAGTGGCTTTCTAGAGGATTAATCGCGCGCATTAATTTCGTTCTCGTGTATATTTTTTCTTTATATCATTTCGTCTTTATGCGGTGACATCGAACCCGTCTTCGGACTACTTTCACACTCAACGAAAGTGAGGTGATATGAAAGTTTCGTCAAGCGTGGTAACATGCAGAAGCTTTTGATTTAAAGTAGCTCTACCCTTCGGCTGGGGTACGCTGTACTTTTGGATATTTTCAGTTTTTTAATTTTTCATCTAAATTGCATGGAAAAAATTTGACAAAATTCATACCCTGTCAGTATTATCTAAATTAAATTTCGCAAAATGTTGATATTTTTTCAACATTTCCTTCTTATAAATAAATAATAAAACTTGTTTACAAAATGGTGGATTATTTTTTATGAGGTACCAAAAAAATTCTTGATTTTTTCACATCTAATGGAAAAAAATTCAGATTTTTATCTTTGATTACAACGATTTTTAAACATTTCTTCTTTGAAAAACCAAAACGATAATTAAATTGAGAAAAAAAATGAGAATTCCGAATCGAGTTCTCTGCAATTTTTTGCAGTTTTCAAAAATCTTTGAATTTGCCGTAAGGGTAGAGCTACTTTAAATAAAGGGGTTCTTGGGAACTCAATTGGCGTTTTATGACGCCTGCTGGGGATTATGAACAGGCAAAATATGATATTAATTTCAAGGAATTTAGAAGCAACAATTGAAATTTCTTTATTTTTCCCCGGCAAATCGCATTCCCTGCGACTCTACTGAAAATTAATAGTCGACTGTGCATGAAATTTCTTTCTTTTTCTAACAGTGTATCTAATCATTATGCCAAGCATACTGCACTGAATGTAAAATTTCATGATTGCGAAAAAGAGAGGCGATTATATTGACCAACCGCCCTTACCATACGCAGCCCCACTCTCCAGTACGCAAAGTCTCCGACTGTCGGTGCCCCACACTGAGGAGACAAGAGTTTTTTGACAGGTGCGTCTTTACTTGGGTCAAGAAATTTATGGCATGAAAATTACCAAGCGCAAAATATGTCACATTACAAAAAAAATCTTACGTCAAGAATTGGTTCATATTAAGAAAACGATTTTCTAATCAGTTTAAGTGGTTTTTGCCAGTGATGCCGCGAGAGGAGACGAGAAGACGTAATTTCTCGTCTCGTTTCGTTATTAGGAAACCATTCTCTTGCCTCGTCGCGTATCGAAATACGAGAGCAATTTCTTCTCTCGTCTCGTCGAGAATCGATAGATTCTCGCATCTCGTCTCGTCGTGTCTCATCTTGTCTCGTATCGTCCCATCCTGTCTCGTCTTGTCCCATCCTGTCTCGTCTTCTCTTCTCTCGTCTCATCCTGTCTCGTCTCGTCTCATCCTGCCTCGTCTCGTCTCATCTTATCTCGTCTCGTCTCGTCTTGCCTTATCTCGTCTCTATAATCCAATTTGTACGAAAAAAAACAGAAGGGCAGAGAGGGGGAGGCTCTCTCGACTCTTGTCTCGTTTCTGTCATTGTCTCGAATGTCTCTTCTCGTCTCCTTCGTCTCCTCTCGTCTCGTCATGTCTCTCGTCTCGTTTGTCTCGCCTCGTCTCGTTTGTCTCGCCTCGTCTCGTTTGTCTCATCATGTCTCTCGTCTCCTTTGTCTCCTCTCGTCTCGTTTGTCTCGTCTCGTCTCGCGAAGGGCATCGTCAACATCAATAACCAAAGCGTATAATATCAATAACCCCCATTAACTATCGTAAAATCTGCAGGGAAAAAGGGAACACCCTGATTTGTCAGACCTCCCGCAGATGCGCCGCAATTCAAATCTCAATCTCCAAATGATTTATACAACTAAACGCAATTGGCCCACGTAATACCACTTATATGGTGAAACAGACTGAAGTGGAATCTAATGGCGATGAGATAATTAACATTTTTTTTATCTCATTTTTTTTTATTCTCCTTTAGTCGAGAAAATTGCCACGAACCAGATTGAGATTCTGCATAGAATTACTTTCAGTGAAAATAGGTATGTGCAGTGGATGTACATACGCGCCTGTTTCTACTGAGAGTAAGACGGAGACGGAGAGGGAACAGTTTATCGCACCTGCCGGAAGGGAACGATCTTGCGGTGAACCTGCTCGAGAATGTACAATGTGTACAGCGAGCAATCACTGGGGATTCCACACTGGGATGCATCTCGAAGCAACCCCCGAGGAAACCTAGATACACTTAAGAAATTTTCACTGAAGTTTCCAGGCTTTAGTCTTGAAATATGAAGTAAGTGACGGTTTCATTGAAATTCCAGGGAATTTTACCACTGGAAATTTGTGGTTTTCGTGGAAAACTCATGGAAATTTTAAATTTCAGTTAGATTATTTCATAAAAATTAATGGAAATTAGGAAAATTCATGCAAAAATGTCCTTGAATTTTCAATTTTTTGAAATTTCAGAGCAATTTCTTATTGAATTATCATGTTTACATTGAAAAATCAGGAATTTCCTTGAATTTTCGGGGAAACTTGAAGTTTCATAGACTTTTTTCCGTTAAATTGAATTCAGTGTCATTTTCTGGAAAATTCAGTTAAATTTTTTTAACAGTATTTCCATTTTGGAGCGATGGCTTTTTGGCGGATGTAAATTTATTGAGAGAATTTTCACGCGTTTGAGAGGTGATGAAAAAATTGAATCACGATATCAGCGAATTCCTCGTTTCATTTTTCATGCATATCGATTCGCGTGAAACGCAGCGGCACTGCATTGCGTATATGTAAACGCGAATCTCCCCAGGGCGATCTCTTCAGGGACATTGTGGCAGAGAAATGCGTTTAGAAAAATGATTTTACGAGCGCATTGTTTGCGGATTCTTTTGGCATCGATGTAGCACTCGGGGAGTGCAGCGAAGGACAATTGTCGGTAGTGAGGGGAGAGGACATGGTTGATACGAAGATTTTTCACTGTTAATTGTAATGTCGATGCATTTGCATGGGAGGAATGGGAGAAAATTGAATAGCAGGATTTACTCGAGAAATTTCTTTTTTTTTTGGAAAACCCTCATTTTTTTTTATTGTTCGTTTGCCCGAAAACGCTTAAAATGCTAAAAACAGTCCAGGGCCTCCAATTTTTAAGCTACAAAAGATTTTTTTCTTCCAAAATTTTCGGAAAAATGTATGGAACAACAATTACGAGCCAGTTTTTTGGAATTCGACTCCTACACAGCTGATTTCGATTTTTTTCATTTGAAAAAATTAACTATTTGTGTAAAAAAAATACAAAAAAGCAAATTTAGCCATGTAAGAGGTGAATTAAAAAAAATTGCTCTAGCTATCATTGTTATTCCACATATTTTTCCCAGAATTTTGAAAAAAAAAAATTCTTCGCAGCTCAAAAATTGGAAGCCCTGGACTATTCTGGGCATTTTTAGCGTTTTCGGGCAAACGAACAATAAAAAAAATTTTTTTGCACTAATTATTCGTTTTCAGATCTATATAATCGATCTTCAACGTATGAAAAGTCTCACTTCAATAACCCACGACTTTTAAAATTCATAGTAGTCTCCCCTTAAAAAAGTCAAGTGTCCGTATTACCCCAACCTGCCCTATCTTTTCCGTAATTTCGGAGGGAAATGTGGTTGCACGAAATTTTACGGAACTGTCACGGAATTTTTTCGGAGCGTTCCGTAATTTTCATCTGAATCCCCTGTGTCTCCAATTATTGGTATGGTTTTGTACCTTCAAAATTTCAATTTTGTTGAGGTTTCTCACATGATTTAATCAACGTTCAGGAAGCCAAAAAAATATTCTCCTTTTTAAAACATTTTTATTGCATACAAAAAGTCAGTCTTTTAGATTTTCGGGTTTCTAACGAATTTTTGTTGTTTGGAAGAACTGGAAAAATATTCTTGAGTTTTCGGGGTGTTTCCACGTAAATTTTCTGTTTTATCCATTGAGCAGGGTTTCATAATTGATTAGCTCAGACCATCGGAAATCCTTTGAAATTACAAAAAATTTGTTTTTTTTTGGAAAATGGAGCGACCCCCATTTATTTTGCGAATATTTTTTGTAAAAAGAGTTAATTTGATGACGAAAAGGGAAAAATCTGGGATTTTCAACTTTGTTGGGATTTTACGGCATTTCCGATGGTGTGAGATAATTGAAACCATGCTCAATCGAAAAAACAGAAAATTGGAACTGCAATAGTCCTGGAATTTTTTTGAAAGCCAGAGAGATTTTGCAATTCCCGAGACAGATGTTGAGTCCATTTCTGGATTCTATCGCATGTGGACTCCGCAATTTCGGGATTCATTCAGCTTCGAGCATTTCTAAAGTCAGATGAAACCAAAAAGCTCTCATTAAATGACGAAACCACAGGAAAAAGCCAAATTATGTCGAGGAAAATGTGTCACTTGACATAAAAATGAACAAAAATTATAATTCACCCCAAAATTTGAATGCAGATCTCACAAGAGCCTGCGATTTCATATGAGGATCACTCCAGGCCTTTACTTTTGTGACAGGACAGCTGTTATGTGAGTTCTAGAAGAATGAGAGAAGCAAGATATTGTCTTTTATCAGTAATGCCACGAGACGAGACGAGAAACTGCATCTTCTCGGTTCGTTTCGTGGTCAAGAAACCAAGAACTATACATTTCCGTTCCATTTTTCCCTGAAAATGAATCGATAATGATAATAAATGAATAAATTAAATAAATGAATAACCGAAAATTCTGTTAAATATATTCTTGAATTTACCAATGACAGTGACACTGAATGCGGTTTAGAGGGAAAAAAAAATCATGAAAATTCAGATTTCACTGAAAATTTAATGCAATTGGACACTGAGAATATTCATATTAGATTGGAAATTTAAATAAATTGAGGAATTCTCGTCTTTATGCTCCTTAAAATTCTGGAATTTCATTGAATTTTCAGTGAAACCTGCAATTTCATGATTTTTTTTCCCCTAAATTGCATCGAATATTCCTGTCCTGAAAATTTTATTTTTTTCCAACAATGTACAGCCCAACATTTTTGTTGGAAAACTCCAGAATTCAGGAGTTTAAAGGCTCTTACACACGTTCGTTTTCAGGTGAAGTCTAGTTTTCCACCTCGAACTCCTAAAAAAATAATGTAATTAAAAAAAGTCAAAAGTGTCCATTTTACCCCAACCTCCCCTATTGTGGATAATGTTGTGATAAAAACTGTGAATTTTATTTGCACGATTAACCTTCCTACCATACATGAATCCCAGTGCTTATGAATTTTTATATCTTACCTTTATCTATGAATGTGAATGCCAACCACGTGAATGTCATCCTCAAGCTCCTCGTCAACCCCAAAAATTCCGATTTAAAAATATCAGAATTACTCTGATTATCTAGAATTGTTTGTCTTCGAAATTTTTTACAGTTCTCTTCATTTGTTGGAAGAGAATCAAGTACCAACTTTAATACCAATTTTCGCTTGATTGTATGGTAGCTCTGCGTCTTGACGTTTGCCTCGATGCCTGAACAGTTTGGCGGGAAGATTTCAATTGAATCTCAAATTATATCCAAGTCCTACATAAATTTCTATACATATCTATAGAAAGGTCGAATAGTAGGGAAGAGCGGGGCAAAATGGATACTCTTGACTTTTCTTAAATATTCATAACTCAGAGATGAAGTCATCAATTTCACTTCAGTCTGGACTTATCGCGAAGAGGAAGAACTGTACTTTACGAGGAAAAACTTGCAGACGGCTGTATCTTCGATACAGCTGTAATTGTACGTGGACACGTCCATGGTCTTTCCTTCTTTCTCGAATTTCCTAGAAACTCCTTGAATTCTCCCGAATTTTCTAGAAACCTCTTGAATTCTCTCGAATTTTCTCGAAACTCCCTGAATTTCCTCGAAATTTCTGGAAACTCCTTGAATTTTTTCGAAAGTTCAAGAAACTTCTCGAATTACCTCGAAATGTCTAGATTTTCTAGAATTCCGATAGATGGCGCTGCACATAAGGACCGTTTCCCCAAAATGACCCCCCATATTGAAACCACAGACGTATCCACGTCAATATCTAGACTGACCTTACCACTGCGCCAGATATTTACACTCTTTACTTTATACGATGTTAACTCTTTGATTGCCAATTTACGACTGACGGCGGAGCATGCCGATCCGCCTTTTATTGGGAATTTTGAATCTAGAAATTTCAGCACTGGAAATTTCTACGACTAACAACCTGTCGGTATCGTACCGATCGATTGACGGTTGGTAATGTATCGACAGTCAGCATCGCCGATAGATGGCGCAGCTGCATAAGCATTTTTTCACCGAATGACCCCCCAAAACGAAACCACAGACGTATCCACGTCGAAAATTATCTCAATTAAAAAACAAAATTTCAAAAAAAATCAAAAGTACCGCTTTTGCCCCGCTCCCCCTGTAGAGTGGACCTCAGCGCTTGGAAATGCTCCTTTCGCGAAGAATAAATTCAATAATTGAATTGAGCACAGAGTGCCCGTGACCACTGCATTCACCGCAAATTCGTAAAATCAATTAATTAAGCTCCAGTGGCAAGTGAGCCCTCGATTTCCTCCAAAACTGTAGCGCGTTTGCCTCGTTTCGTATTACGCAAAAGTTAAGTGTTGTAATACGATGCTGACATTCAATTTCTTCATAAATAAATCAGTTCAATATTTGGAGTTACAACATACATTTGTAAATTGCGATGGCCTTTTAAAATGTGAACATAAATTCAGGTTTTATTTGTCGGTTATTCTTCTCCCGCAAATAACACTCGGATCCAGAGCACGAAATGAGAATGGGGAAGATATTAATTGGACGAGAACATTACATTGAAATACATTGAAATTTTTTTGTTTCGGGCACTGTCAAGATTTTTAAAAAATGTCCATCACTCAGAAATAAATTTATCCCGTTTCATCGGGAGTTCAGTGAGTTATGAACATTTGGAAAAAAGACAAGAGTCTATATATTGGCTCATTAAATAGCTTCAGTCACGTCGTACGACTGAATAATGACGGTCGTGAATAAAAAAAAATAATGAAAAATTCTGATAAATATTAACATTCAAGATGATATCGATTTGAGCCCTAAAAAATGATGATCGATCTGAAAATTCGGTAGAAGTGTCCGAAACTCCTAGGGGAATTAACATGGTAAAAGCTCTCCGAAAATCTAGTGACTCTCAGGACGAAAACCCTAGTGGAAAAACACAAGGTGGAGGCGTAACATGCCTGATCAGAATTTCGGATCGGACTTGATCAGTTTCTGATCGAGACCTGAACAGAACTTCCACTCGGGAAGGTCTATTTCCTAAACAACCCCACCAGAATTCCCCGCGAGAATTCAAAAAGCCCCCGCGCGAATCGCAGCCAGTGAGCTGCCGCCCTCTGCCGCGGATGCACTGTACCCAAGCCCCGCTGCCATCGGTTTGGTCAAAAGACAGCAGTTAACCGCTCTCGCGCACTTTGCGCAGCCGAAGAGTGCCCCCCCCCAGTCGCTCCCGCCGCCGCAAACCCCCATACAACTCCACCCCCCCACCACCGCCGCCGGAACCTCCTCTCCGGTCGCGCGCAGTGTGAACAGGCACTTACACACCGCCACCCCACACAGACAAAGCAACAGCTCTGCTGTCTCGTGGTGGTTCACCGAGAGCGATACCAGGCAAAGACAGTGAACAGTCCAGGAGTCTGACTGTCCGCGTACGGTCGAGTGTGTGACGCTCGCGGATAACAATCAGCACTCCACTCCCCGGTTAAATAATTCGAAAAAAAAAAACGTGGAAAACTCGCCGACCCCGTGACGCGCTCGCGCAACAACAGCGGAGGTCACTCCGCCACCCGTTCACCAAGTTTAACCCGAGTGTCCAGGTAATAATTTCAACCCGTTGTTTGATAGTCGCCATCGCGTTTACTGGTTATGAACCCGCCAAGTGCCTGTCTCCCCCCGATGTGTACCAATCACCCAGCCGTGTTGCCTCTCCACTCCGCTGTATTTAATTTCATTGTCTCGGCAATCGGCGAAATGGACTAGCATGTTCACACACGTATGATACATTTTAAAATACGTGCGCCACGTTCGTGCCCGGCGAGAGGTGAAAGAGAGTCGTTTCGAGTCGCGAGAATAAAGGAAAAGGAGTAAAACGTCTTCATGAGTCTCGTGTGAAAGGAGGATGAAGTGAAAAGGAGAAACGAGACAAAAGGGTTTTAACCGAGGGGGGGGGGAGGGGAGTGAGGCCCAGGAATTGAAAGAATAAGGGAGGAGGACCAGGATTTTTCAGTGGTTACTTTGGAGTGCCCGAGTGGTGCGCGGGTGGGAGAGGGAGCGGACGAATCGTCGGCAACGGGGGAGAGTGAGACGGCCGCGAGTGGGGCGGGGGCGGGGGAACAAGGGGGGAGCGAGTCGGAAAGTGTTTGTGTGCATGTCGGTTCGGGAGGGACTGAGAGAGACGGAGACGGCGGGGAGAACCTCGGAAAGGAGTGCGTGCCCCCGTGTGTCCTGTTGGTTTTGTAGGTGTGTTGGTCGGGACACACACGTCAACCCGAGGAAACCACGGTGAGGCATGAGGTAAGTCACGAGCGAGGCCGATCACGGTGAGAGTGCTCCTGAAATCGGCGCTCCAATGTTTCTGTGTGTGCGAGCAATCCCCCCACCCGCGGCCCCTTTTTCATGGATTAAAAGTTTGATTTTCAGTGGTGGTGGAAGTCATTTACTGCAAGCTTTGTAGTAAAATATGAGTCGACTTGTCCAGCAGTTGCTTCTTTGATGAATATCTCCGAATCTAAGGGAGATGTCGAATTTTCTCCCGGAAGCTTTTTTGTAGAGCAGAATGAGAGCTACAGAAAAGGTCATTACAAAAATTGCTCTATCTCTCTTAGATTCAGAGATATTCATGAAAAACTGAGCCAGGAGCCAAATCGACTTATTACCCTTCACCACATCACTTCTGAATGAATATCTCGGAATGTAAGGGAGATAGCCAATTTTCTCTCAGAACCTTTTTTATAGAGCAGAATGAGAGCTACAAAAAAGGTCCTTACAAAGATTTCGATATCTCTCTTAGATTCAGAGATATTCATCAAAAACTGAGCCAGGAGCCAAATCGACTTATTACCCTTCACCACTTCACTACTGAATGAATATCTCGGAATGTAAGGGAGATAGCCAATTTTCTCTCAGAACCTTTTTTGTAGAGCAGAATGAGAGCTACAAAAAAGGTCCTTACAAAGATTTCGATATCTCTCTTAGATTCAGAGATATTCATGAAAAACTGAGCCAGGAGCCAAATCGACTTATGACCCTTCACCACTTCACTACTGAATGAATATCTCGGAATGTAAGGGAGATAGCCAATTTCTTCTCAGAACCTTTTTTGTAGAGCAGAATGAGAGCTACAGAAAAGGTCATTACAAAAATTGCTCTATCTCTCTTAGATTCAGAGATATTCATGAAAAACTGAGCCAGGAGCCAAATCGACTTATTACCCTTCACCACTTCACTACTGAATGAATATCTCGGAATGTAAGGGAGATAGCCAATTTTCTCTCAGAACCTTTTTTGTAGAGCAGAATGAGAGCTACAAAAAAGGTCCTTACAAAGATTTCGATATCTCTCTTAGATTCAGAGATATTCATGAAAAACTGAGCCAGGAGCCAAATCGACTTATGACCCTTCACCACTTCACTACTGAATGAATATCTCGGAATGTAAGGGAGATAGCCAATTTCTTCTCAGAACCTTTTTTATAGAGCAGAATGAGAGCTACAGAAAAGGTCATTACAAAAATTGCTCTATCTCTCTTAGATTCAGAGATATTCATGAAAAACTGAGCCAGGAGCCAAATCGACTTATTACCCTTCACCACTTCACTACTGAATGAATATCTCGGAATGTAAGGGAGATAGCCAATTTTCTCTCAGAACCTTTTTTGTAGAGCAGAATGAGAGCTACAAAAAAGGTCCTTACAAGAATTTCACTATCTCCCTTAGATTCTGAGATATTCATCAAAAACTCAATGTATGAGTAGAATGAGATTAATATCGTTGAATGTGTGGCTCATTATGGAGTAGGAGATGCCGAGCCGCAACTTCTGCAACACTCGCGAGGTTATGATCACCTTCCACGTTGCGCTCTTTAAAAATTGTTTTATGAACAGGTTTTTTCAAAATTCAGATGACAACAGGTTGGCCTGAGCGGTCTTCCGCAATTTTATAAACGTAGAAATGAAGTTCAAGAATTTTTGCGATGGCCCAACGGTTCGTCTGTCAGGGAAGACCTCATCAAGAGCTTCTTTATTAATCAAATGTTTAAAATCATTACAAATAAAACCACTTGAATAATCCGGTTTGTCTCAAATTGGGATTTTTAATCTTTCGGAAACCGTTGAACGGAAGTCTAGACACCCGAAATCATCGAGATTGAATTTTTGGGGAACGTTCTCCATGGTTTTCCATGGTTTCCCTTGGTCACCAGGAGAGTCTGTCCGTGAAGTACAGCCCCTGGGGTGCAATGCGACATGGTGAGGGAGGAAGTCGGCCCGCGGGACCATAAAAACCCTGATCTGTTATATGGGAATGAAAAAAAACACTTAAATAGGAAAAAAACCCTATTCTTCTAACCGCTAAAATATGAATCGCGAAGAACCCTTCAACTTCGACATCACTTCTTCGCACATAAAATTCCTGAAGACGCTCAGGCCAACGCGGTGTCACCTGACTTTTGGAAAATTGTTTTACTGCAGCTAAAGTCGAGTCGAAAGAGTTGATCGGTGCAAATTCCCCGCTCAACTGGACAAAAAAAAGCGTTCGCCCGCAACTTGAGTTGAGTTTCTCATTCCTTTGTTTGGAGAAAATGCAAGTGGTATGGGAAAAAGTAACACCACCTGAAGCCACTAAAATGGGATACGGCGGACTGCGGGGGCTCCATGTGATGGCTTGAATAAGAAAAAAGGGGGGATAATAGGTTGGAAGTAGTTATGAGGGACTTGTGTTGATATTTCGGCGCGCAGCGAGGTCTCTGACAGAGGCGACCGGCCTTGAGCTTCCCCCCCCCCCCCCCCCCCCCCC